ACTCTCATTCATTCATCAGCCTCACTTGTTTCCTGAAACATCATATTATTCAATTGACGTTTGTATTAAATCTTTCATATGAGGAATATAAAATATAGAGTCAATCAATCTTGCCTTTAGTAGATCCAAGGACGCGGTAAATGTCAGTTCAATTGGTGCTTGATACACAAAGAAGTAGGGTTCAATCGCTTCGCCTCATTCACACGATACCAGACTGACGCGAGCAAGGAACTGTTCCTAGTGTTAATATTCACAGATATTCATGTGAAAGCTCAAATGTAAATGTTTTTTCCACATACAACAGCATTACCTTGTAGGTAAATACACCGGTGAACATCACAGCAGCAAACTCTCTCAGCTTAATTTGCTTCACATTGACATACATGCGTGACAGAGATGGCATAATACGGGTACACACTGTATTCACTCAGTATATAGGTTCTAATGGAAGATTACGGATCATATTTGTATTCATCTAGCGTGTTTGAATATACATATTTAGTCAGTAACCAATTGGCAGATTGGTACCAAATAAAAACAAAAATAGTGTAAAACTGCCGTTGAAAACATAATTTATGAATTCAGCTTTAACAAAATACAAACTAATAGGATGCAAGCTTTCGATTTTATACAGAAATCATCTCCTTCAATGTAAACAGGTTGAGCTACATATATATGAGTGAATTGCATAGCCATTGTACCGTTCATGAAAAAAAATTAAAAATAAAAACTTTTGAGTCGTAGAGCAATTTCGACTGTATCTAAAAATATAATTTTCCCTACACTTTACCAAAAATATTGACGAATTTTTTAAAATTTGACTGAACCCAAAACTCCCCCTAGGGTAGGGAAATGAATTCATCATTTTTCAGCAAATGATCTATACTGTCATACACCGTTCGATAGAACATATGCGGCAACCATTTTGCACATGCGTAGGTATATACGCTGATTTATTCGCACTAAAATGGTAAGAAATTATTGTTTTTTCCTAAGAATGATTGACAGGAAGCAGAAAACTATAATTCTACAGTAGAATTATGGGGACTAAGATCGTTTCCTTATTTGTACTGCTCAGTAATCGAATATTAAATTTTGGGTTACCGTATGTACAGCTATTATTATAGTTTTCTTAACAACAAACCAGTTGGGATATTTTTCAAGCTTTAACTAACCGTAGAATATGCAAAATAAATAAAGAATAACGTATAGCTCCCACAATTTTTTTGTAATTTCAAGCGAATAGCCTGGCTTTCAGCGGAGCGTATGATGTATGGAGGGCCGGGAGATGGCACAAAGTTTGTCTCGAGATGTTCTTAGCCTACATCCGAGCCTACACAATTATTTCAATTTAATAGTCTTATCATACTTTAGTACTTTTAAATCTGTCACAGTTATACTCTCTTAAGTGTTTTACTGCCTTTAGTCTCTTACTTATTTTAGTCTTTCACTCTCTTACTCTTTTAGTCTGCTATTCACCTTACTTCCTTCACTTCTCTTACTCCGTTTACTCCTTTTACTTTTTCATTCCCTTTACTTCTGTTATTCCCTTTACTAGAAAAGCATCATAAAGTAGTAAAAGGAGTAACAGGAGTAAAAGTAATAAAAGGAGTAAAAGGAGTAAAGGGAGTAACAGTACTGACTAAAAGTAGTAAAAGGACCAGAAGTGGTAACTGGAATAAAATTAGTAAAACGCTAAAAGCACTAAACTGAATAATAAACTAAAAGACATAGTCACCTATCAATATAACGTGTTCATAGCTAAAAAGATCTCGGGACAAACTTTGTACCTTCTCCCATCTCTGAAGAAAACGTCAAAATACAGGAAAAACAGGACAATTACGAAGCCTGCAAGAGTAAAAGCAGTAAAGGTAGCAAAAGACTGAAATGAGTAAAGGGAATAAAAAAGTAAAAGGAATAAGAGGAGTAAAGGGAGTAAGAGAAGTGAAGGAAGTAAGGTGAATAGCAGACTAAAAGAGTAAGAGAGTGAAAGGTAAGGGAGTATAACTGTGACAGATTTAAAAGTACTAAAGTATGATAAGACTATTAAATTGAAATAATTGTGTAGGCTCGGATGTAGGCTAAGAACATCTTGAGACAAACTTTGTGCCATCTCCCAGCCCTCGTTTTCTTGCTGTTTTCCTTCGTTGGTTATATCTATTAGGAAGTCTCTGTCTCTTATGTGAATCCAATCAGCTAGTTATTCAAGTATTTTTACTTTATTCGGTCAAGAGCGTCAAGAGAGGGCTAGCAGAAACGACATTTAAGCTAAAGATCAGAATGCTCCCACAAAGACTGATCGTTTAAATTGTACACACTCATGTCTAAATACTAAACAAAAGAAGTGAAAAAAATGAAAAGGAAGGAATGAGAAGTGAAATGTAGTATGCTGTTGCTGTACCTATAGGAAAAGAAGATGAAAGAAAACAATGATGATAATACTGGACGAATAAATAAAAAGATGTATGAGCTTGATATCTACTAGTATCTGTGACTATGTTCGAATGCTGTATAATATTTTTAAGTAAGGTCAAGTGAATTTTTAGTTTATGCCTAGCAATACATTATTTAACAAAGATTGGTTAGACCGTATAGATAATACAGGTGAAAAATGCAGTAGATGGTTAACAGAAGATAGGGAAAAGTCAAAATTTATGTGTGCTGTTTGTGAGAGAAATGATCTTAGTTGTAAAAATGGTGGCTGGACAGATATCAAGCAACATTTTAACGGTAAACAGCATCAACAAAGAATGAATGAAATATTCAAATCTGGACAAACGAAATTGTTGAAAACATCAGTCGAATTGAGTATTGATAAAAATTCTAGCAATAAATCACGATTATTAAATCATGAAGAAAAAGTTAGCCGTGCTGAAACATTATGGGCTATGACGGTGGCTCCTAATGGATTTAGTTACAATTCCAACGAATATATGAGTGATATTTTCAAATGTATGTTTCCAGATAGCCGTATTGCTCAAGATTTCACAATGGGTTCAACAAAGTTGTCCTACGCGATTGCACATGAAACTGGTAAATATTTTCATGATGAACTGGTTAGAGATGTTGGTAAAGCACAAGCATTCACAGTTATATTTGATGAAACAACTGTGCCCGGTGTTAAAAAACAATTAGATATATATTTACGCTATTGGTCCGAGCAAGATCATCAAATAATTGTCAAATATTATAAAAGTGTGTTGCTTGGACATGCTACCGGTCAAATTATTGCTGATTCAATAATTAGCTCATTAAAAACAGATGGTCTGGATATTAAAAAAATTCTAATGTTAGGTACGACAGTTTTTTCTTATCCGTTCCTCTTCTATCTGGCTAATGCATATTCTAGTAAGAGTGTATAACTCAATGCATACTTTTTGTTCAACCTGTTGTTCTTCTGAACCTTATATGGTTCTTACATTAAGTGTATGTCTCATGGAAAGTGTTTACTTCTGCATTAGGTCGCGATAATCCAAACGTCAATAAAACAGTGGAAAATTTAATTAATAACACGATAAAAGCGGAAAACAATCAAACTAGACAAAATAATTTCAATGATAAAAATGAATGTATGGGTTTACTTGAGATTGGCACATGCCCATTACATATTGTGCATAATTCGTTTAAAAATGACATGATAAATGTTCATTGGAATATAGAAGAGTTTTTATGGTTTTTATGGTATTGGTTTAGTAGATCGTCAGCACGTCGAGAGGATTATATGACAACAGCAGAATCATTAACAAGTATAATTGGTAAATTTATGATCCGTTTTGTTAACACCCGTTGGATTGAGATTAGTAAAGTCCTCGAACGTGCACTTGAACAATGGAATGTTAGTCATGGCTATTTTCTTATATATTTCCCAAAATTTCAACAGAAAACAATTGAACAAAATAAGCGTTATACAGATATTGAGGGTGAATTAGAATACAACGTTACTAAGATACGTTTAGAATTTTTATTGTATGTGACGAAAAATTTATTCTATCGATATCTCACATGGTTTCAGAGTGAAGGACCACTCATACATTTACTTTATGGTCAATGTTCAGAATTATTGAAAGCAGAATTTTTATCATTTGTAAAACAAGAAATTATTGGAACACCAACCACAGCAAGTTGATGATATTATTATTGAGATTCTCCTACTTGGTAAGGCACGACCCAGACGAATAATACACTGAAGGCTATAAACTTGATCTTTCATAATTGGATGTAAACATTGCAAATCTCTTAATATTGTACATTTCAGCGGTAATGTTCGAATCAGTTCTTTAGCTAAATAATAATAAAAGCTTCTGACATCAGTAAAAAATGTTTTTCTATCTTCAAACGATAACTTTGTTAAAGATTTTCTAGTTGATTCACCTATTTGAACTGGTGAGTCTAGTAACTGATTTGCTTGCAAATCGTAAGCAATTGATAATAATTCTTTACCAGTTCGGTTTCCAATAATTTCTTGTTTTACAAATGATAAAAATTCTGCTTTCAATAATTCTGAACATTGACCATAAAGTAAATGTATGAGTGGTCCTTCACTCTGAAACCATGTGAGATATCGATAGAATAAATTTTTCGTCACATACAATAAAAATTCTAAACGTATCTTAGTAACGTTGTATTCTAATTCACCCTCAATATCTGTATAACGCTTATTTTGTTCAATTGTTTTCTGTTGAAATTTTGGGAAATATATAAGAAAATAGCCATGACTAACATTCCATTGTTCAAGTGCACGTTCGAGGACTTTACTAATCTCAATCCAACGGGTGTTAACAAAACGGATCATAAATTTACCAATTATACTTGTTAATGATTCTGCTGTTGTCATATAATCCTCTCGACGTGCTGACGATCTACTAAACCAATACCATAAAAACCATAAAAACTCTTCTATATTCCAATGAACATTTATCATGTCATTTTTAAACGAATTATGCACAATATGTAATGGGCATGTGCCAATCTCAAGTAAACCCATACATTCATTTTTATCATTGAAATTATTTTGTCTAGTTTGATTGTTTTCCGCTTTTATCGTGTTATTAATTAAATTTTCCACTGTTTTATTGACGTTTGGATTATCGCGACCTAATGCAGAAGTAAACACTTTCCATGAGACATACACTTAATGTAAGAACCATATAAGGTTCAGAAGAACAACAGGTTGAACAAAAAGTATGCATTGAGTTATACACTCTTACTAGAATATGCATTAGCCAGATAGAAGAGGAACGGATAAGAAAAAACTGTCGTACCTAACATTAGAATTTTTTTAATATCCAGACCATCTGTTTTTAATGAGCTAATTATTGAATCAGCAATAATTTGACCGGTAGCATGTCCAAGCAACACACTTTTATAATATTTGACAATTATTTGATGATCTTGCTCGGACCAATAGCGTAAATATATATCTAATTGTTTTTTAACACCGGGCACAGTTGTTTCATCAAATATAACTGTGAATGCTTGTGCTTTACCAACATCTCTAACCAGTTCATCATGAAAATATTTACCAGTTTCATGTGCAATCGCGTAGGACAACTTTGTTGAACCCATTGTGAAATCTTGAGCAATACGGCTATCTGGAAACATACATTTGAAAATATCACTCATATATTCGTTGGAATTGTAACTAAATCCATTAGGAGCCACCGTCATAGCCCATAATGTTTCAGCACGGCTAACTTTTTCTTCATGATTTAATAATCGTGATTTATTGCTAGAATTTTTATCAATACTCAATTCGACTGATGTTTTCAACAATTTCGTTTGTCCAGATTTGAATATTTCATTCATTCTTTGTTGATGCTGTTTACCGTTAAAATGTTGCTTGATATCTGTCCAGCCACCATTTTTACAACTAAGATCATTTCTCTCACAAACAGCACACATAAATTTTGACTTTTCCCTATCTTCTGTTAACCATCTACTGCATTTTTCACCTGTATTATCTATACGGTCTAACCAATCTTTGTTAAATAATGTATTGCTAGGCATAAACTAAAAATTCACTTGACCTTACTTAAAAATATTATACAGCATTCGAACATAGTCACAGATACTAGTAGATATCAAGCTCATACATCTTTTTATTTATTCGTCCAGTATTATCATCATTGTTTTCTTTCATCTTCTTTTCCTATAGGTACAGCAACAGCATACTACATTTCACTTCTCATTCCTTCCTTTTCATTTTTTTCACTTCTTTTGTTTAGTATTTAGACATGAGTGTGTACAATTTAAACGATCAGTCTTTGTGGGAGCATTCTGATCTTTAGCTTAAATGTCGTTTCTGCTAGCCCTCTCTTGACGCTCTTGACCGAATAAAGTAAAAATACTTGAATAACTAGCTGATTGGATTCACATAAGAGACAGAGACTTCCTAATAGATATAACCAACGAAGGAAAACAGCAAGAAAACGAGGGCTGGGAGATGGCACAAAGTTTGTCTCAAGATGTTCTTAGCCTACATCCGAGCCTACACAATTATTTCAATTTAATAGTCTTATCATACTTTAGTACTTTTAAATCTGTCACAGTTATACTCCCTTACCTTTCACTCTCTTACTCTTTTAGTCTGCTATTCACCTTACTTCCTTCACTTCTCTTACTCCCTTTACTCCTCTTATTCCTTTTACTTTTTTATTCCCTTTACTCATTTCAGTCTTTTGCTACCTTTACTGCTTTTACTCTTGCAGGCTTCGTAATTGTCCTGTTTTTCCTGTATTTTGACGTTTTCTTCAGAGATGGGAGAAGGTACAAAGTTTGTCCCGAGATCTTTTTAGCTATGAACACGTTATATTGATAGGTGACTATGTCTTTTAGTTTATTATTCAGTTTAGTGCTTTTAGCGTTTTACTAATTTTATTCCAGTTACCACTTCTGGTCCTTTTACTACTTTTAGTCAGTACTGTTACTCCCTTTACTCCTTTTACTCCTTTTATTACTTTTACTCCTGTTACTCCTTTTACTACTTTATGATGCTTTTCTAGTAAAGGGAATAACAGAAGTAAAGGGAATGAAAAAGTAAAAGGAGTAAACGGAGTAAGAGAAGTGAAGGAAGTAAGGTGAATAGCAGACTAAAAGAGTAAGAGAGTGAAAGACTAAAATAAGTAAGAGACTAAAGGCAGTAAAACACTTAAGAGAGTATAACTGTGACAGATTTAAAAGTACTAAAGTATGATAAGACTATTAAATTGAAATAATTGTGTAGGCTCGGATGTAGGCTAAGAACATCTCGAGACAAACTTTGTGCCATCTCCCGGCCCTCCATACATCATACGCTCCGCTGAAAGCCAGGCTATTCGCTTGAAATTACAAAAAAATTGTGGGAGCTATACGTTATTCTTTATTTATTTTGCATATTCTACGGTTAGTTAAAGCTTGAAAAATATCCCAACTGGTTTGTTGTTAAGAAAACTATAATAATAGCTGTACATACGGTAACCCAAAATTTAATATTCGATTACTGAGCAGTACAAATAAGGAAACGATCTTAGTCCCCATAATTCTACTGTAGAATTATAGTTTTCTGCTTCCTGTCAATCATTCTTAGGAAAAAACAATAATTTCTTACCATTTTAGTGCGAATAAATCAGCGTATATACCTACGCATGTGCAAAATGGTTGCCGCATATGTTCTATCGAACGGTGTATGACAGTATAGATCATTTGCTGAAAAATGATGAATTCATTTCCCTACCCTAGGGGGAGTTTTGGGTTCAGTCAAATTTTAAAAAATTCGTCAATATTTTTGGTAAAGTGTAGGGAAAATTATATTTTTAGATACAGTCGAAATTGCTCTACGACTCAAAAGTTTTTATTTTTAATTTTTTTTCATGAACGGTACAATGGCTATGCAATTCACTCATATATATGTAGCTCAACCTGTTTACATTGAAGGAGATGATTTCTGTATAAAATCGAAAGCTTGCATCCTATTAGTTTGTATTTTGTTAAAGCTGAATTCATAAATTATGTTTTCAACGGCAGTTTTACACTATTTTTGTTTTTATTTGGTACCAATCTGCCAATTGGTTACTGACTAAATATGTATATTCAAACACGCTAGATGAATACAAATATGATCCGTAATCTTCCATTAGAACCTATATACTGAGTGAATACAGTGTGTACCCGTATTATGCCATCTCTGTCACGCATGTATGTCAATGTGAAGCAAATTAAGCTGAGAGAGTTTGCTGCTGTGATGTTCACCGGTGTATTTACCTACAAGGTAATGCTGTTGTATGTGGAAAAAACATTTACATTTGAGCTTTCACATGAATATCTGTGAATATTAACACTAGGAACAGTTCCTTGCTCGCGTCAGTCTGGTATCGTGTGAATGAGGCGAAGCGATTGAACCCTACTTCTTTGTGTATCAAGCACCAATTGAACTGACATTTACCGCGTCCTTGGATCTACTAAAGGCAAGATTGATTGACTCTATATTTTATATTCCTCATATGAAAGATTTAATACAAACGTCAATTGAATAATATGATGTTTCAGGAAACAAGTGAGGCTGATGAATGAATGAGAGT